ACATGGGCCTAACAGTCCCTAAGATGCAAAAGAATTTAAAACAACCCTCTTGTGTTACAAATACACCTGCTAAAAATTTCCTTCAAGAGAAGAGTATACTCTTTGGTGGTGCATGTCTCCTGTCTGTTCGCCATCCAGTGATGCAGTTTTGTAAGACTCTTCAGCATTCGACTCTGGGAATGTCTACGCCCCCTTACTTAGGCTGCAGCACTGGAATGGAGGAAAGGTAGCAACCTGGGCTGAGGAAAGATAAGGCCCCATTCGCACAGGATCCATTGCGTTGTAATCCGCTAACGCAAGGGCACTGAAAAATGAATGGATGTGAATGGGACCAGTTCACACCGCTGCAATCTATTCCTTTCTGTTGCTGTACAATGGAAAAAAATTAGAGCATTGCTCTTTTTGGCAAAAATATATTTTTTTTAATTGCAATGGAACGGAGGCCAATGTAGGTTGAAACTGCAAGTCAACAGAGCCTCCATTGACTTGCGATTTCCTTCCGATTTTGGTGTGAATGGGCCCTAAAATCTGTCCTCTTGCAGGGAACTTCCAGCAGGATTTTTCTGTAAGCTGACTAGGTCACTTTAAATATGTAGCATGTTCATGTGGCTCCCCTTCCTTCCCTGCATGCCACTGCAGACATCCCAGAGGCATACTGAAACAGATGAAACCTGGCATCCCTTGTATTCCTACAAATTCAAAGTTCATCCTTTTGCCACTAGATGGTGCTGTTTCTTGTGGAGAGTATGTGATTACAAATGAGAAAAAAATGGAAAACGAACTGTGACGGTGATTCCCGCAGAGCAGATCCCATTATTCACCCAATGTAGTTAGAACCGCTTTTGAATTAATTACACAACACAAATAACCACTAACTGATATCATTCTCAATGCACCGAGCCAAAATGCAGTTATTTGTCAAAAAGAAAAAAAATCATACTTTTCTTTGAAAATAGTGTTGAAAATACTGTCCTTTATGGCAATTATATGCATTATACCTTAGTGTTTGAACCTGTAGGGCAGAGGTTCTTAATCAGACAAATCCATACTAAATTATACGGGTATGGGACTGGAACATTAAAAAAAAAAAAAAAAAAAGAAATTCAAACAGAATTCTCTGCATTATTGAACCTGATATACAAAAAATGACATGATGTGTCAGCTAATATGCGAGTAACGTTGTCACAGTAAGTGGATCTTAATTACACTTTTTGATTGCACGAAAATAAACCGCCAACATCTCATTAGTCGTAGCCAGTTTGTGTATTTGTCACTTTTATATAAATAAATATGACTAATACGATTAAATGCTTATGATTTTATTTCAGTTGTTCTGCTCTTAGCTATCCATATGTACTTATTTGGCATTTTGCTGGTGGAGGGGTCTGCAATAAAAAAAAAAGCCTCTAAAGGGGAAACGATTTTTACAAAAAAAGTTATACGGTATCTATATATATATTTGACCAGGTTAGTGTAAATAGTCAAACCAATACATTTTTAAAGAAAGACACTGTCTCTAGTACTGCCTCCAGACAATCCAGTCCTAGCTTTCCTGCAGAATACCCTTAACTGGAAGCCCCATAACCCAATAATTTGGAGGTGTTTCCACATATTTTTCACCATAAAGAGTATATACAGTATACTCTATGTACAGAGGCTGTCATAGTTATACACAGGGTTGCTTCCTGCTTAGTACTACTGTATAGTGAATGTAATTCACTGTTCATCCTTGCCCACTCTAAAGTCAGGTATACAGGTGTCTGTTTTTTTCAGTCAACCCACGGGGCTAAACAAAAATCTATGCTTACGACTCGAGTGTTGATAGAGGAATCCCCCACTGTTTGCAATGTATTCTGACAGTGGCTGTCAGTCACTGTCATAATACCCGAATGGAATTAGCAGCTGATTGAGAATTTTCCAACCTGCTCTTTCGATCAGCTGATCGAGGGAATGCCGGGCGGAAGGGTGCCGTCAGCGTCACTCACTGTGAGAATTTTGTCCAGTACGTCAGGAAACGACTGACCGTGTGTACTCTACTTAAAGTGACACTAAACTCAGGAGTTAAATATTAATAATGCATTCAAGTACCCTAACTAGTAACAAAAATGTGTCTTATTTGTGTATCACTCGGCTGTAGATCATCAAATCATCTCTGAATTGGTTCTGGCGCTGTCCTTCCTTCTGGAGGGGGGCTCCTTTTGTTCTCCATGGTCCCTGTGTGTGTTGTAAAGTAGCCACCGCTCCAAGCTCACTCCTGTGATGGACTACAATCTCATGTTTAGTTTAGCAATTTGTATTGAGATTGTAGTCCTGGTAACTGCTATTATCTCCACAAGCACTAAGCAGGCATATTACAAGAAACCTGAAAGAGATACATATATGGAGGAGGCATTATACGGCACTTACAAATGGTGGACAGAGTGCAACAAAACACGTCCTCACTGAGAAAGGGGCCAGTTTGTCCCCAGAAATGTTGGGGGTGCAGCACCTCTTTTTCTTAGCCAGGTCTGTGTATTGTGTTACTATTGCTATACTTTATTACAGGATGTGTAGTATTGTATACTCAAACTGTAACTGCTTGTAATGTCATGTCACTGTAGCTCATTGATTGTAATCATTGGGTCATTGATGTATACTGAAACCTCCTTCCATCTTGTATTGCACTTTTTGATACTTCTTCTATATTAAAAAAAAATGCTACATGCATTTATTGGGTGTTTATAGCAGTTATTATTAGTATTGATATTACTGACAACGCTCTGCCCTTGTCTCTCATTTATGTGTCTGTGTTGTACCCTGTTACATGGAGACTACAAGCGGCTGTGCTAACACAGATTGCGCAGGCATTGTCCACTGTTGTCACCATCATGAAATCCATCCTGACAAATAATGTGCAGCAGTTTCTGGAGCTCATGTAGACAGCAAGTGGCTGCAGAAATGCTGCAGAAGATCAGCAGCACTGAGATGTATCAAATGATGAAAAAAAGTGAAAACATGATTTGTTATTCAAAAATGGCAATGGTATATACCTTTGTGTGTCTGATTGTGTTTGTGCGTGCGTGCAAGTGTGTATATGGGTCCCTGTGTGGTCTTAGATTTTAAGAGTACCTGTACCCCTGTATGTTATGGTCCGGGGTGGATTTATCATAACTGGAGCAGACAGAATCTGGAGCTGTTGCCCATGGCAACCAATCAGCTTCAGTTTGTTCAGTTAAGATTTAAAATTGGAAGATAGAAGCTGATCGGTTGCCATGGACAACTGCTCCTGACTCTGTCAGCTACAGTTTTGATAACCCCCCCGCAGAGTGTTTTAGCAAACTACATGTCATCTACTTGAAATCTGAATGTCAGGCAGATACAACAGACACCAATTAATGCAGCTCTGTGTTTATTAATATTAACAAAATGTATTTGTATTTAAATACAAGCAGTGTAAGTACCTACAATATCAGCCTCAAATGTACAGCAGCAAACAGACTGGGAGAAGGGGAATGGGCACAAAGAGCCATTCAGCTGTGTTGCAGTGCTCATTTTCTAACAAGGGTGATGCTGATAGGAGGAGAGAGTAGAGTGCAGCTGCTTCTTCATTTCCATCCAGTCATAGGCTGGGGAAGGACATTGTAAATTGTAGCAGAGAAAAATCACGTCTCCCACCTTACCAGACAGATTTGTGCTGTCTCAGGACTGGGTGGGCAGAATGACAAACAGGTCTATTCACAAAAGGGTGAAGAGTTTGGAGAAGGCAGGAGAAGTGAACAATCTGGGACAACATAGCTGAACTGGAAAGTGAGCTGAATTGGAGAATGTTTCCAAATCAGCTATGTTGTCCTTGATTGTTCCCTTCTCCTGCCTTCTCCAAACTCTTCACCCTTTAGTGAATAGACCTGAAAGCCTTTAGCAGGTAAACCAGCTCCAATATATGTATTTAATGTGTGCATTTAGCTGTTTGTCTGGAGTACAGCTCCAAATAATATCAGTCTAGCTTTAACCAGAGTCTCGTGCCTGTAGTCACAATAAAGATTAATTCATTCAAATTTGCCAGCATTCGCAACGCGATGCCAACACAAAGCGAGCGCAGACTAGTGCAGCCGAAAGCACAAAACAATCGCTTTGCGCACATGTCCAGAACCACTTCTGGACATGTGCACGCGGAGGAATGAATTTGCACGCTTTCAAAAGATGCGCTCATTCCTTTAGCTTCTGTTTTTTTTTTTTTACTGAAAATGATTTTGTGCTTCAATTGTGCAGATGAAGGTGCAGACTGAAGTGTCCCCCCATCTCTATCTCAATGAATGCAAATTGTCTGTCTGCATAAAGTTCCAGCGAGAGAGAGAGAGAGAGACAGAGAGAGAGACAGAGAGAGAGAGAGCCCGCAGTGAAATGCCTCTGTAATGCCAGCTGATAAATATTAATTCCCGGCTTCTTTCATCTATATATTATTTTGAAGGGATTTCATTTAGCCCCTTTGCTTTATTTTTTCAGAGCAGCCCCTGACATTTAAGAGATTCTCTTTTGTGCACTTGTATAGTCAAAGTTAAATGAATAAGCCTTTTAAAGATATTATGTCATGTAGGTTGAGCCTGGAAGACAGTTCGGTCTCCATTGGCTAATTGGGAGGCAGGAGGGGAGGGCTTGACGGAGTAAGCTGTATTACTTGAGAGCTGGCTCAGGGATTTTCTGTGGGTTTGCCCACTAGTGCAGCAGCTGCTGATGGTGCTCTCTAGCACAGCTCAGCAGCCAAACACAGACCCAACAGCAGATAGATCAGAAAAAACGACACTGACGAATATTCAGCCTTGCAAAGTCTCCTAGGTGACACCAGCAGCTTTCTCGGACTAGACCGCTCCGATGTAGCATCCTTTCTTTTTAAGGATTTTTTTTTAATTCATTGGAGGTCTGGAACACAAAAATCTATTTTTTTCCCCCAAAAAATAAAGCTTGATGAATGGTGGCGTTCTCTGAAGTTGGGTTGCTTTCTCTGTCACCCCCCTCCCCACCCCTCCTCCTCCCTCCAGGACTCTTCGAAGGTGTCCAGTTTGTGAATAGGGATCGGGCTATTAGCTGCTCTTCCACATTGTGCCGGATTTCATTCTAAGACATGCTAAACAATAGCCGGGGAAAGGGACAAGGGAAGGACTATGGAAAAATCCAGTAGCGAGGACTCTTCCATACATCGAAGTCCGTCCGTGGACAGCAGGGATTCGGCTAAACCGTCTACCTCCAGTAGGGAGTTTGGTCGAGGATTCACAGCCGGGGCTTTTTTTGGCACTTCGGGATCTCGCACGCAGAGTCAAACCGGCGTGAAAAGGGACAAGTACAGCGCTCCCAAAGGTGGCAAATATGTTGTGTTTTACCTGGATCTATCGTTTGTTTTTCTTCTAGAATTCAAAAAGTGCAACATGGCTCGGGGCTGCCTCTGTTGTTTGAAATACATGATGTTCCTCTTTAACTTGATATTTTGGGTAAGTGCAACTTTCTTCTTATATAAAGTTGTGATGCATCTGTATTGCCCTGTCTATGCTGATCTTTCCTTATCTGATATGTCCTGATATGTCCTTACAGGCTTTTATGAACACTTCTCCGCTGCTCCACATCACACACAAGGCAGCAGTGCTGCAGCTGCTATAGGGTTAAGCTTTTGGGGGGATAGGGAGGGAGGGGGGTACTGCTATGGGTTAATGATGAACATAATTGATTGGTTTAGAGTTTGCATGATCTATGTAAATAATAGTAATACAACATTTGTCAATATTATTATTATCTAATTATCATGTATGTGTCTAAATGCCTCATATGCTCTACCCAAGTGTTCTCCAACCATATATGCACACTGGCCAAAATATAAATGCCCACACTTTTGCTTCTTGTGCCAAACTATAAAATCGCTAAAGGCACAGCCAAAGAAATTCCATGCCGAATCCATACAAAATAGGTATGGTCAAGGTATGGCCACTGCAGTCCTTCGATCCCCATACAGTAGATGCAGGAGTCATTTTTGCTCCTCATGGCCCAATCATGTTCAGATTAGGACGAGATCACACATCAGCTTCGAGATTTATTGCCTTTTTATTTTCTTCAACTGAAAAATCCCAGCATGCAGATTCATCGCTAAGATGCTGACTTGCATCTGCTCAGCCTTCGGGGAAAGATCCTTAAACATGCAGCGTTTTTTAGTGACAGCCTTTTCTGTGACCGCCACGCGAGTCAGAGGCACGAGTAGCAGTCAGGTGACCCTAACCTAAGGTCTAGGCAAACAATTAATTGCTTATCATCACATGCTGTAGAGTGTGATAGTTGTCAAGCTGAGAAACGTTAAATGGCAACACAATTAATATATATATATTTATTAATATATAATATATTTTTTTTTAAATGTATAATAAAATGCCATCCTGCCATTTACAAAAGTTGGATTTTAGTAGACATTTTTTTTTAAAAGGTTCAAATATTAAATACATATATCTATATGTCTCTATCTATACATCTCTATCTATATATACATATATAGATAGAGATGTATAGATAGAGATATATATATTTAATATTTGAACATTTTTTTTTTTTATTTCTACTAAAATCCAACTTTTGTAGATGGTCGGTTGGCATTAGGTCACAACATACAGATATTGGCATTTGACCCAAACCGCCCATTGTGCACTCTTCATTTATCTTTAGGATACTGACCAAAGTGACCCTATAGATTTATGCATGGATAATTAATTATGGATTTGGAATGGTAGCTATCTCTCAAGCCGCTGCCAGCTGCTTCCATTGAAATAACTTTTGAGTATCAGGCAAAGGGGGGGGGAGCTACAGAAAAAGAAGGAAGCAATGCACCAAAGACACCTTTGGGCTTTCAGCGAAAACTACAAAGACAAAAGACAGCACCATCCTGCTGACCATCACTTTAATAGGCGACAGCAAGGGTTAAGGTAACGTTCCTGGCTTTGGCACGGTCCCATTTTGTGACATTGACGAGCTGGGCACATGGCACTGAGCTGATCCAGCTTGCGGATGAAGAAGCCTACTTAAAGAGCAGGTCCACTTTGTGACATAAGTAGAGACCTCTGTTGCGGAGTGACACGTGTGGCAGTGAAAGAGTCAAAATTGACCACTCTAAACCCCCTCTCTCCCCATCCCCTCTGCCTCCCCCTGCGAGGAGGCCGGTCTCCTATTTAAAACAGGCTCAGTGCAGCAAGCTCCCAGCACGCTGTAATCAGAAAAAGATAGATGTGCTTATGCCGCATTATTAGTTAGTGAAAAGCCCCTATGTGGCACTTTATACCATCGATTAAGCTCGCTCTTTACGCCGCGCACCTTCTGCGCAACCCGTAATATATTCTGTCATAGCAGCAGCCTGCGATTTCATTGCAGAAAACGGAAGAAGAATGGCAAGTTTATGTTACAGCCTTCATATTCAAAGCGCTCTTCATTTCAGCCATGAATTACACTTTGTCACATTTAATCACAAAGTCTCCTCACGTGGAATCTATTCTGTTATCAACGGGGTTTTTTAAGGTACACATCTAAATATATCGAGTTCAATGTAAAAAATGTTTTAGGAGACTTAAGTGTATGGAGTTTGTAAGAATGTATGTACATAAGTATTTGCTCATTATATATTGCTTTCTACATAGTAGTGCTGCATAGTGGCTGTGCTTTAGTCTTCTGCTCCCATAATGCAAGCTTGAGTCTGATCTGACTAAAGACAATGAAGGCTTTTGGTTTATCTGAACTCCAGGCAAACAGAAATGTACACAGACAATCTGACATACATATATGATTCATATTTCTGTCTATCCAGTCCTGAGATTTATGCAGCTATGCAACATAGCACAGCACCGAGACCTGATCTTTCTCTGCTGCAGTTAAGTAACACTGACAGGTCTTCTCTCTTCCCTAGCCTGTGACTGAACATTGAAAGGAGAAGTAGCTAACTGATGAGCTTATCTCTCTGCTCGCTCCTCCTGTCAGTATGTTCCTGTTAGTGCATAATTACTGCAGCACATCTGAGCTGCCCCTTCCCCTCGGAGGACAAATTCTTGTACTTTACAAATTTACGATGTATTAAAGAACACAGAGTTAATCGTTTGTGTCTTTTATGAATGCCTGGAGATCAGCTTTAAAGATGACCTGTCATTAAAGCCAGAAAAAGGCAGCTGTAAAATAAGTTATAAAACATTCCGGTGTGGTTGGAGGTGATTTGGATCTTCACTTGGTCATTGGACATACTTTTGGGAGTGTCAGATGTCTGGGCTCACCCCTCCCGCACACCTTGGTTCCACTCACTGACTGCTAAGCCATACCGACACCACCCCGCCACCTCTCCCAGCACATACCTGTGTCGTCCCCGGTGTGATCCCGCACCAGCCGTTCTACAGTAACAGCCCTGTAATATGTAATGAGCATAATGCTCACAAATGGTGGGCGCTCATTGGTCACAGCATGGTCACATGACCACACTGATCATGAGAAGCCCTTCTTCCAGGCACTGGTCCGCGTCTCAAATGGGCTTCTCATTGGTCAGTGTGGTCATGTGACTGTGCTGAACAATGAGCACTTGCCATTTGCAAGCATTATGCTTATTACATACTGCAGGGCTGTGCAGTGTATTGTATGGACCATTCACCCGCTGGCAGGGGATGGTACAGGTATGCACGGGTGAATGGTCATAAATGATTTAATATGAATTAATAGGGCACATGCCAGCTTTACCATTATGTTGCATTAATTTTTTATATAAAAAAAGTATTTAATGGAAAAAATGTTCGAAACTCTCATGTGGTCCAAGCCTTGACAGCTTAGATCACATGTTCACAACATATGAACTATACATCTGAACTATATGACCCCCCCCCTGTACTAGGTCAGTGTTAGGCAACCTTGGCACTCCAGCTGTGGTGAATGTCTCTGGGAGTTCATCCGTTGATGAAGTTTGCCAAGCCATGGCTTTTAGTTTTTTTACTTCTAAACCGCAGTCAGACACCTAAGTATCCATTTATTTAAACTGAATATATGTGAATTGCTAGACGTCCCAAAACATTTCTGATTCTATCAGTGGCGTAACTATAGCCATAGCAGGGCAGGCGACTGCTATGGGGCCTGGGGGTGGAGGGGGCCCCATTAGCTTGTTGAGGCAATTAAACATAGAACATGTGAAGATAACATAAGATAAGGGTTGGAGTGGTTGCAGTTGATGGCAACTCTAATCCCCTGGAAAGTCTACAGTGTAGAGATAACTTCAGGTGCACAAGAGGAGTCTTTGGGATCTTGGCATTGTTACTTACAGCTCAGAGAGAGGTTGTTTGGCAGTCACATTTTTGCTATGGGGCCCCGCGTGATCTGTAGTTACGGCCCTGGATTCTATTCAGCTACCAGGCTTACAATGCTGTATAACCAAGAGGGTGACATTGCAATCCACTTAAGCTGATCTCCAGGCAAACCATTAAATACAGATAGAATACATATATAATAAGGGCCAAAGGATTCATCTTTCTGTCCAACGCATTCTATCCTTTACAAAGCAAAGTCCTGTCAAGCTAAGTAACACTTGCAGGTCTGGCCCCTCCCCCAGCCTGTGATCCAACAGTGAAAGAAGAAGCAGTACCACGATGAGCTCATCTCTCTGTCACTCTGTTCTCTTCTCCTATCAGTATGTCCCTTGTTAGCACATAAGCACTGCAGCACAGCTAGATTCTTGCTTCTCTGTATACTTACTTCATATTTAACTTGTATTATTAATTTTAACTTCCCCTTAGCTTAGTGATGGTCGCTCATCTGACTTCCATCAACCAGTCATGTGCAAACTTGCTCATAATTGGGTATTTTTTGAAAAGTGAATTTTCACCACATTCCCAAAGCTAATGGAAATCTCCCCTGCCATGTGCAAATTCCCTTGTAAAGTGAACAGCCTATTTGGCTTAGTAAATCACCACACATCGTATGAGTGGGCCCTTCCTTTCACATGATTAAGTGGAAACTGATTATTTGTAGTACATGCTCCAAGTCTCCCCAAGTGCTGCAGATTCTCTGTACATCCACTGTGTCATTTTGCTGATCACAGGTCCTCTTTAAACTTTGAGGTTTTTTTTTGTATTTGTAAGGACTGTTTTTTACTAGTGTGTTTGTGATTGCTTTGTACCATCTGCTCTTGCTTCTTACTGAGATTAAAGATGTCTGAGCTGAGAGCTAGCATGCTTATAGCTTTTAATTATGACTCTGGCATTCTGAGCTACAGCATAACAAAGAAAGGGTGCTTGTGCGGTGTACACACTGATTATATGGAGGGGCAAGTCTGCATTTGGGATGACCTTTAATAGAATTTAGTTAGTGTATCCAAAGGTCAAGTGTTTTTAAGAATTCCATGGTTTCATTCAGAACCAGCATGAAACTAGCATTAAGTTTTAATGATAGGGCACCTCGTGGTCTTGCTTGATGTGAGAGCTGCCAGAGCTTAATTACA